TTTGTTTATACATGTACTATTTCCACATTTGAATACTTAAAATAACTGCTATATTTCTCAAACTTTTTTTGTTAATAACTTTTTAACGAACAACGAGCGACGGTTAAAACCTCTTGGATGTTACTCAGGACAGTGACCTTGACAACATATGTCAAGGTCAAAGTCATTGGAGGTGGGTACGTTAATCTAAATATTTACCGAAGATAGAAGTATATTAAGACAAAGTTCAATTAATGATCAAGAAATAACGGTTCAAGAAAGTTTAAATACAAACATAACAAACATAAGAAAAAAATTAAGTATTACAGAAAACAGGAGTTATTAGAATTAGAAGAGCAATTAATTTTAGAAGTACAGGTACGCGAAGCATTATGGAATCCACAAGTGGATCTGTCACGCCGCAGCAGAAAATCAACAGCACAATTATGGAAAGAAATTTCCGAAGCATCAAATGGTAAGCAAATACTTATTCAATAATAAAATAATCATAGGAATAGTATGCAACTTAATAATTATTAATATAAATCTGTTTATAACATATGATGTTTTCCAGGAAAACTATCAGACAAAGAAGCAAAGACGAAGTTTAAATCACTGCACGATACATATAGAAGAATTGTTAGCAATGAATCATTAGCTAGCGGATCAGAAAGACCTGCTAAAATGAGCAAGTGGCAACACTACGATAATTTCTCGTTTTTGCGTGACTTGTGCTTACAGAAACCGTAAGTATTTTTTTATTATATTGTTCCTCCGGAATACTTATAATAAAATGTCAACATCTCTTTACATTGTGTAATGCAATAAAAAATAAATAATTAAAAATTAACTAAATAAATAAAAAATTAATAGATAAATTAAATATATATTAATAAATTATAAAATAAATTGTATAAAAAACATGCAGAAAATAAATGTATATAAAACAATAAAAAAAACAATACTTAACTGTTAATAGAACCAAATCAAATGTGTCATGCCGAACTGATGCTGATGATGACTGAACTGCTACTATTTATGAAGATGTAGAAGAAAATAGACAGCAAAGTATGTTTTATCTATAATTCTATATATAAATATAATATTACCTATATTATATATTAAGTGTACTATATTTTTCAGACTATAATAAGAAACAAAGCACAAATAAAAAAAATTTTAATTCAGCACTTGATAGAATTGCTGATGCCTTTTGTGAAAGAAGTAAACAAGCACCAATTACTTTGCCTGATCTTCCACAAAACGACGAAGTGGACGCAATTGTGTCCGTAGTTGAACAAAGATTGAGGAAACTTCCACCAAATATGTTGGATAATGCAGCGCAGAAACTATTTCAAATAACATATAATCTTATTAAGGAGACTGAAAATTAAGTTTTTATTTTATCTTTATTTTTTGATATGTGATAATAGTATATTATTATAATCGTAATACTATTATAAACATGTTATATAGTATATATAGCTTATACCAAAGTTTATTTTTATATAGTTTATATTAAGTTTATTTTATTATTTTAAAATAAAATAATAAACAATTAGAGAACAAATTTAACAGAAAGAGAAAACATTTTATTTTATTTACATTGTTTTTTATGTAGCATTCTTATAAACAATGATATAAATATAATATATATCTGTGTATGCATATAAAGAATATATAAGAGGCTATATTTTATATGTTTGGAAATACATTTTTAGCAAAAGTTATTTTGCCATGGCACAGAGCCTTCATTATTAAAATATGTGCAAAACTTATCCCGTATTTCCATATTTTTTTTATTGGTCATATAAGATCCTACTCGTTGTATTTCACGATAAGCGGAACCGTTTTCAAAAACCATTCTCCAAGTGTCAGGTATAAAACTATTATGATCATCAAAATGATCAACCATATTTATAGGTACATATTCATTAACGTTTATGTCCTGTTTGCGTAACCAGTTGTGCAAGCACACAATGGCTTGCACAATTTTCTCTACAGTTTCCACTTTTGCAATTATTGGCTTCCTCAATATTCGCCATTGGCTAGCAAGAATCCCAAATGTGTTTTCAACAATTCGCCTAGCACGGCTCAATCGATAATTAAAGATATTTTTTTCTTTAATCAATCCGCCTCTTCCTGAGTATGGTCGAAGCAAATATCCTTTTAAAGGAAATACTTCGTCTCCGACGAGGCAATATGGCAATGTCGGACCATTTTCAGAAATAATGTCTGCATCTGGTACATCCATCTTTTTTTGTTCAAACTTTTTACCAAATTGACATTTTTTGAAAATGCCACCATCACTGCGTGTACCGTAAACTCCAATGTCAACAAATGTAAATAAGTAATTAGTGTCACATACTGTCATTAAGACAATACTGTGACTGTTTTTATAGTTATAATACATAGAACCAGCATTAGCAGGACACTGAAAAAATATTATTATAATAATTACATTTAACTTAAAAATCAGAGATATCAGAAATGTAATGTCTATATGATAATACTATTGAAATTCATACTTGAAGAATAATATGTTTTCCATCAATGGCACCAATACAATGCGGAAAATTGCATCGATGTTCGAAATCTGTTGCAATACGAAGCCAATCTTCTTCGGTTGAAGAAGGTGGAAGAACAACTGGGCACAACATATTCCAAAGTACTTCACATGTTTCAGATATAATGTTGCATACTGTTGTATATCCTAATAAATATTGGTATGACATTGATATCATTGAGTAGCCCGAAGCCAAATATCTATATGTGAAAGACAATAGTTAGTAATAAGTTTTAAATCATCCATATAATCAGATGTCTAGTATGTTGCTTTTATATTTTTGTGCATTTAAAAATATAATAAAACAAACCTTAAAGTTAAACACAAACGTTCTTCAGCATTGACAGGTTCTCTTATAAATGTCTGCTTCTGGAGTTTTGGTGCAACAATTTGTATCAAATCTTCCAATTGTTTTGATGACATACAAAAGTAGTTAATAAATCTTGCACTTTCTAATCTTATATATGGTAAGGTAGCTTTATAAAATCCATACTCGTTACGATTTTGAAACAGCCGTGCTACCCAAAACTTTTTTTTAGAATAATATTTTTTTTGAATTTGACCTGTCAATAGTAAAGTAATGGCAAAAATAATATCATTTTTAAATTTTATTTTACTTTCTCGAATCATATGATTACAATTTAATAGCTAATTGTAATATTTTTTTTTCTAGAAGCCATTGCGTAATGTATAAATTAATATAACTAATTACACAACTAACGCAAAATCTGTCTTGACTGATTACACAAATAACGCAAAATCTGTCATCAACTTTCAATTTTGTCGCTGCTGCTACCCTTTTCATGTACAAAAATTACCGCTGTATAGTTCAGCGACAAAAGTTGTCACGTGATCATTTTTGTCGCTCAAACAATCGGTTTCAGCGACTCATGAAAAGGCACCTTAATACACTCCGCAGTGTTGTTTGTTATTGTATTATATTCCAAATCCTCAATGTTTGCCTGCAACATATTATTGATACTCTTCTGCAAAAGTTGACAAAATATAAGTGTTTGCCTCTTTTTATAATTTTTATGTATCTATCAATACTCACTTGCTCTTCTTTAGCATGTTCCTTTGATGCTTGCTCATTTCTGTTTATATCTGTATTCTTTTTTAAAAAAATTCCAAATATTGTTGGAATCGCTCCTGATTTTAATTTTTGCTTCCCATCGCGTCTTTGTTTCCACATTTCCGGAAAAAAATGTACCTGTATGATAGAAAATATATATTACGTTATATACAATTTATACAATTTTTATATATATTTTATTTGCATTGTCTCACATTGTATAGCAATAAAATCAGAAATTATTACTTAACCTCGCAGAGACATGAATTATTCGTCGCTGTCCAATTTTCGCGTTGAACATTTCGTTCCCATAAAGCTCGACGTTGCGAATCTCTGGGAAATATTTTCATGGCATAATCTTTTTTTGCAGAATTATTGCAAAAAGGTGCAGCACACCCACCCATTCTGCACAATTATTCTTCAAAAATGTTCAAAATTACTTCGGATCACAATTCTGACACTTTTCATAAGCAACAGTGGCAGTACTGTCATGCGCATGCGTTCGTATTTAAAGTAAGATAGCGTATATTTCTATCTCTCTCGCAGAATTTTGCCAAAACTGTCAAGTTGGTCAGACTCTGTTAAGGCCTGTGTTCACGATCCGAGAACTCGGATCGAGTTTTCGGATAGAGTTTTTATCACCAGATGTTTGTCCTCTGTTGAATGCAGATGGTGTTACAATCAGCTATGTGAAGTTAGACTCGTAATTTTAACCAAATACCAACATATATTTTAATGTGTACAATTGAGGTGATAAATAAACAGATAAAATTATAAACATCGTACAAACATCGTACTTTTAATATTGTTGAAAAGGAAGGGTATAAATATTGAATTATAACTGTAAGTTTTTATTTTATTATTAAGTTTTTGTTTCTCACTGTAACGACAATATTTACTTGAATGGTGTGAAATTTTTAGATTTTTTGAGCCTTGGTGTCATCCAAACATTTATAATTAACATTTTTTTTAAAAATGACCGATAAAAAGCGGAAACTGAAAGAGTTGATGGCTATTGTTTTATTAGCCGAAGCTGTTGAGCAAGACGAGGAACTTGAACAAGAAGAATTCAAACGGCAACGACGTGGCCGATCGGTTTGGATGCGCGAATGGATAGTTCGAAGAAATCGAAATCTCAGGGGGACAATTCATTTAGCGCACAAAGAATTGAGATTCGAAGACAGCGAATGTTTCCAAAGATTCTTCAGAATGCGAACTGATTTATATGATCAACTTGTTGATATGGTGAAACCATTTATACAACGTCAAAATACGAACATGAGAGAATGTATCTCGCCGAGAGATCGTGTATCAGTCACTCTGCGATTTTTAGCCACCGGTGAAGCTTATAGAAGTTTAGAATATTCTATGAGAATTCCAGCATGTACCATTTCTCGTATCATTCCTGAAACAAGTCGTATTATTTATGAAGTACTTCGAAGAGATTATTTAAAGGTAAATAAATAAAACACGATATATGAACTTCTGAAATTAATAATGAAGATATATTTAACATATAATTTTTACAGACACCAGGTACAAATGAAGAGTGGACAGAAATTGCAAATAATTATTTTCAACTATGGAATGTTCCAAATTGTATTGGCTCTATGGATGGGCGACATATAGAATTCAAAGTGCCACTTAAGGACGGATCAATGTATTATAACTACAAGGGTACCAACAGCATTGTTTTATTAGCAGTAGTTGACGCTCTTTATCAATTTATATATGTCAATGTTGGCGTTAATGGCAGAATAAACGACGGAGGAATTTTTTGTAATAGTGATTTCGCACAACTATTAAATAATTCTCAAAATCCACTTAACATACCAGAAGATAAGCCTTTGCCTGGCATGGATGAATCTATGCCGTATGTTTTATTAGCGGATAATGCTTTTCCTTTGCAAAAGCATATACTGAAACCGTATCCGTCACGAAACTTGACTCATGATGAACAAATATTCAATTATAGACTCAGTAAAGGGAGGCGAATTGTTGAAAATAGTTTTGGAATATTAGCAAATAGATTTCGTGTTCTTTTGTCAACAATATACTTATCAGTTGATATTGTTCAAATTATTACCCTTGCATGTTGTGCCTTACATAATTATCTCTGTCGCGAAAATGGTGCATATTTACATGGAACAATAGACATTGAAAATGTAGAAAATCGTACAATATCACCTGGTGAATGGAGAAATAATAATGCACACTTACGCGATTTAGAAATTATTAATGTAAGACCTAATAGAAATGCCATTCATATTCGTAATGAACTCAAACGATATTTTAATACTGTTGGAGCTGTTGAATGGCAAAAGCATATGATTTAAGAATTGAAGAATCTAGATATAAAGCATAATTTTGGGTAAATTGTAAATAAATTGTACTAATCTAATGAATTGAAATATATATTTCAAATATAATGTATTGAAAACAAATTTTTGTTTTATTAATTATGGCACACAGAAGAATAGTTATATTTAATAACAATAAATATGATTGACAATTATAAATATAAGTATAAAAATAATAATAAGTATAAAAACTAAATCTCTTTTATGTATGTGTAACAATTATAAAATTTAAGTCTTCTCGCACGCGATTGATTTTTTTTATCACCCTTACACATTTACAATAACATAAATTTTTAAACAATGTTCCAAAACATAAGAAAATATCACTATAACATTGACATATAAAAGTAATATTATTTTAACAGATAAAAAAGTCATAGCATCTATTATTATGGCAATTATTAAAAGTATTGTATCAAAATGATGAAATTTTAAAAGTAATAGGTTTTCTTTATTCATTGTCTTCATCATCTACTAATTCGATCATTTTTCTTTGCAATCGTTTCAATCTTTTCCTATCTTTTATTTTACGTTCGCTTTCCAAGTATAGGATCCAGCGATGTATTCCGTCTTGGGCGTTTTCATCACCATCAGATATATTCATCAATGTTTCAGATGCAGCCTTCCAAAAATTTAGTCTGACATCTGATATTTCTGCCGAAGCTTCTTTTTTTTTGTAACGCTCTGTACGACTTGATGATCTGTTTGAATTAGATACCGAGGGAGTAGGCGAACGACGATTATTACAGTCGGCTTTAACAACTATAAATAATAGAAAAATAAATTAAAAAACGGTTTTAAAAATTATTTAGTTTTAAAAGGATCAATATAACTCTTATTACCATTATTTCTGATAAGATCACATGTATCCGTATATTGTAACTCCTCCATCAATGAATCGTTATTTAGATTTACGATACTCATGGTATCATCTGATGCATCAAGTTGCCGATTGGAATGCTGTAATTAATTATAATTTAAACAGTTTGAAAATTGCAATTTAATAACTTAAAATGTTAATATATTCTTTGCAATTACTATCAATGAACATTCTCCTGATCTAGCCGCAATGTGGCCATTCAGGAATGACAAGTCGTCAAATAACCACCACGTGGGCTTGTATACTTCATCGGCTGAAACCCCACTCACTTTTGACTGCCGAATTTTGTTTATTTGGTCTAAGTACTGCGATCGCAAGTTATTAATTTTTTTTTTACTGTATCAACTGTTATTGGCTGATTAGTGATATCCTGATAATTTCGACATATTTTGTTTGCAGTGCTTGATCACGTTTACTGCGATTAGGATATTCAGCAGATTTTGTAACATATAGGCAAGGATGCGGACCGCCATCTTGGTACCGTTTGTAGTCACACGTGTTTTCGAGTGCCTCCTAGCGAATTGTTAAATCAGCCAATTTCTGGGCTACCTCGAGTGCTCAGTGTAGATATATCGACGCCTCTTATCGTGTGCTTCCTCTGGAGCATTGTAATATAGGCGGCCCTGCAACGATTGAACCGATATCAGTGCAATTCTGACGCCGGCCACTACTACGCCTTTGTTCGAGACTTCGGCCATTGTGCCTTCTTTGTTCTTTTAGAAGAAAAATCTAATCCCTCTCTTTTCTCTCGCCCTTTCCCGCAGACTTTCCTATGGACTTTCCTTTTTCCCCTGGAGGAAGGATATCGTCGTCGACCTGCGTGGGATCCCACCACCTCTCTCTGCAAGTAAGTCCTCATTCTATCCATAAGAATTATTATGGACGTAGACGATCCCCAAGTAACGGCCGCCCTTGAGGCATTAATTTCTGAGGCCGGCTCCACGCCTGATCCTCGCGCCAAAATAAGCGCTAAACGACACTGTGAGATAGACCTGTCATCCTCCTCCATCAAGAACTTGCGTACAAGCACTGAAAGCAGTGTCAACTCACTTCATCGTCCAGTTTCTGGATCTTCCATCTCTCTTTCAGACAGCATCCGTGACAACCGCTATTCGGCCAGTAACGCCGGACCCTTTGATGTTCACATTCAACGTCTCTCTAATCCAAAGTCTTCGCTACACCCCACTTTTGTAGGAAGAATCATCTGTGAACTCAACGTAAAAGAGATCATGGAAATAAAGAAAATTGGATATTCAAAAGCCTCGGTTTTCTTTAAAACCAGAGAGGCTGCCAACGCCTTAGTAGAAGACGAGAGACCCTCTCTTTAAGATCTAGAAGCATTCATTCCCCCCTTCCGCACTTCTAGGAAGGGCATCATCAGAGACGTCCCACAGGATCTTTCTGAGCAAATGATCTTAAGTAATATCACAAGCCCGATCAAGGTTGTCGCTGTCAATAGAATGAATCGGAGAACCACAACAATCTTTCACATGGATTCTCAAGAAGATTCTCCATCCTCATCTGTCACTTACGTGCCTTCTCTCTCTGTCTCGCTCACCTTTGAGGAACAAAAGATCCCGAATCATGTCTTCATGTTTCACGTCAGGTATCCCGTGTCTCCATATGTTGCAAGAGTCTCACGATGCAATCGCTGTTTTAGATTTAGACATATTCAAACCAACTGTAAGAGTCAGCCACGCTGTGCACACTGCGGCGACAAAGGACACACCCATTTCAAGGAGAACTGTCAACGCGCTCAAAACCCGCCAAGGTGCGTGAATTGCCAGGGTGAACACAAAGCAGACTCTTCTCTCTGCCCGGAACTCTCTATACAGAAGGAAATCAGGAAATACGCAGCTTATAGAAACGTTTTTCTGTTAGACGCGAGAGAAATCTTTAAAGGTAACAAATCCCCTCCGCCCTATTCCTCTTCCTCTGAAAACTTCCCCAACTTCCCCTCTACACATTCTAAAGCTCATCCCTCTCATTCTAACCCCTACTCGTTCCCCCCTTCTCTACCTTCACTTCTCCCTCTGCTTCGTACGCTAATGCCTCCAAATATTTTTCTGCTATCCTTAAAACTCAGCCCATCCCCCTTTCGAACCTAACGCGCAATTCGAAACTTAAATCCGTTTCTCTGCCCCAGCTCGAACAACCTAATAGACTCTCCTCTCCTTCTCGCTCTCAAAAACAACTTCGCCCAAATGTCTATTTCTCTACTCCCTCCACTCCCTCTTCTCCTGCTTCGGCTCCTCCTCTCAGCTCGATCGCTAACTCTAAACTCACCTCCAACCCTTCAATTCTCCATGAGGCCCTTCTTCTCTTGGCTTTCCTTCTCTCTCAACTCTCTCCTCTGCTTTCCTCCATCAACTGGTCCGACGCCATTCCTGCAGTCATTCAATTCCTCCACGCCTTCATTGCTAATCCGGCTCCCGCCCCCTCTCGTCCCTCCGTAAATGACTAGCTGCCGTTTCCACAACGATTTCTCCCTATTCCAATGGAACTGTCATGGTATCCTTAATAAAATGGATATCCTCTCCCAAATCGGAAGCCAGTATGACATTCTTGCCCTATCTGAAGCTTGGCTCTCGCCGGACAAATCTCTCTTGTTAAAAGATTACAACATACTACGTAAATACGGTCCCTCCAATAGATCCGGAGGCGTTCTACTGGCTGTTAAGAACGTTATTCCTTTCACCAAACTCGACTCCATCTTCTCTCCAGATGGAATTTTTGAGGCGGTGGGGATCAAAGTTCCCTCCTCGCTCAACGACATTCTCATCATTTCTATTTACAGACATCCCACTCATTCGGACCCTCTCCTTTGGGAAAATCTTTTTAATTCCCTCCCTCCCTCCTCCCAAATTATCATCACAGGCGATTTCAACGCACATCACACATCCTGGGGCTGTAATCGCTCTGATTCTGTAGGTAACTCTTTCAACTCCTCTCAGGATTTCTCCTTTTTTCCAATCAATGATGGTACCCCTACCTTCATTTCCTTTTTCTCTCGCTCTTCCTCTGTCATTGACCTAACCTTTGTCTCCTCCAATCTAATTCCTTACTGTTCCTGGAACCCTCTCGATGACTCTCTGGGCAGTGATCACATCCCTTCCGTAATCTCGGTCAGTTATCCTATTAAGTCTCGCTCTTTCTTCTCGCACCGTCTTCACACCTCTAAAATCAAACGTAAACTTCTTTTCGCTACTCTTTCACTCTTCTTTCCCGCACTCTGTGCGCGCCTCGAATCCGAAAATTCTTCTCCGACAGAAAAATACAATGCGTTCTGCAACTTTCTTAAAGACATTGTGATCTCTCTCCTTCCCGAGCGCGAAGCTGACAAGAATAATCCTTGCAACAAAACGCGAGAAAAAAGAAATAACAAGCATAACGGATCCTTAACTCATCCACCCGCTCCCTGGTGGAACGAAAGCTGCACCGAAGCTGTCGACTTAAGAAGGCAAGCATTACGCGCTTTTCGTAGTAATCCCTCCAGGCTCACCTTCCTCAATTTGAAAAAACAAGAAACCCTCAACAAAAAAATTCTCCGTCAAGGAGAATGGCAAGGGATGGAGATCTTACTGCGAATCTATAACTTCTTTCACTAACATCTCAGCATTATGGCGCATCGTGAAAAGGTTCAAGAACAGAATCCTTAATCCCCCCTCCTTTCCCCCTCTTCTAACTTTGGTATTCCACCCGAGATTCAAAACCTAATCAACTCTATTGCTCCTCCTTCATGCCTTCACAAACTCTCAACCTCTTCTTTCAATTCCGACTGTCTCTACTCTTGTCGCATCTTTGACAATCCCTTTCGTTTAGACGACCTTCTTCACATTATCTACTCATTTAAAACCAAAAAGTCTTCTCCCGGTATGGACCAGATTGATTACACCATCCTATCCAGCCTCCCGGAAGAATACTATCCCGTTTTCCTCTCAATACTAAATGACCTATTCTTTTCCGGGGAATTTTCTGAGTCCTGGAGCCATTCCTTAGTCTACCTCATTCCCAAAGTTACTCCGGGGAAATTCCGCCCCATTTCCCTCACTTCTTGCTGCCTCAAAGTTTTCGAAAAACTTGTTCTCAGACTCGACTGGTGGATGGAACGTTATGAAAAGCTCCCCTCATCACAATTTGGTTTCCGGAAATATCGCTGCTGCCAAGACAATCTCTCCATCCTCACTACCGAAATTCACAC